CTCGCGGGGTCAGAAGGCCCCGGCGGTGCCGCGGGCTCTTACATACAGACCCTCAGACCAGGCCACGGCGCCTCCCGCGAGGCAGCAGACTCGGGCGGGATTCAGCCGGGCCCGCGGGAGAAGGTGGGGTGCGTGGCTCAGCGGTCAGAATGCATTTCGTTCTCAGCTGTGAGGTAAAAGATGGCGTGGGAGGACGATCTTAAAGGGTGAAGTCCGCCCTGCCTTCAGCCTTTAGGGTTCTGGAGGCTTGCAGGACTCTGGCTAAGGGGAGTTCCAAAGGTATAGTCAGGCTCCATGCTTGCTTATTGAAGTCTCCTTTTATCTCTTTATCTGAACTTGATGTAAATAAATCAGCACATTCCTTAAACTGGTATCTGATATACTAAATATTTGCTATAATTAGGTATTATAATTATAATACCTACCCAGGATTCTAAGACTCTTTAGTTGAAATATTTTTATGCTGTTTACCCTTCAGGCAAAGAGAAATTTTTTCTATATAGTAAAATTGTTTTTGAAAGAAGAGTAGGGTCATATGCTTTGACTCATTAGTTTTATTGCTATACGCTGTTTTGCGTAAAAGGCCTAAAATAAAAAACTGGTATTACTTTAACATTACCTTTCAAGAATGAGCTGTAGCATTCAGAAAAAGGAATTCAGTATGATATGTATAAAAAGTGAACTGATAGTATGCTGTTTTTCTTTCTCATTGGGATCAAGTACTTGATCATTCGATTTTTAATTACATAAAAATTTCCTAAGAAACATTATGTGCCCTTACCTAAGTTATAATTTGTGTTGTGTAGAAAAGAGGAAAAAGTTTTAGGAAATTCACATGAAAAAGTATGTATCACTGACCTAGTGGGAATAATAGCATAACTACTGGGTATGCATCCATTTTTCCTTTTGTTCTAGTCCAGTAGCTCAGTTATTATATGGTTATTCAATCACAGAAGAAATATCAAAGAAAAATTAGAACTTGTCAATGACTGATCCACTGCACAAAACAGGTCTGATGAAACCAAATGATTGGTAGGGCAGGTGAGGTGTGGGGTAGCTTGTAATAGCAACCCCCAATATCAGCAACTTATTAACAACAGAAGTTTTTCTCACACTTTACATATTTGATTCCAGTCATCAAGAGGCCTATTGTAAGTGGTGTTCACCAGGAAACAGATGCTACCACTCTTGAGATTTCAACGCAGGAGGTTATTGGGTAATATTCTTAAGAACAACTTCTGTGGCAACTGAGGGAGGTAAAGTTAGAGACATCGAGAAGCTAACAGCAGCACAGTTTCACCAAAAACTTAGCCAGTCCTGCAGGAAGCTCTGGAGCTAAGATGGCCATTCAGTTGTCCTAAATTAAGTTTGGTGGCCAAGTGTTTATACCCTCCCACCAACCATATATTGGATATGGACTGCACCCAGGAAGAGGAGGCGACCTTACTAAAAGCAACCCCCATAGAGGGTACTCTTAAGCACCAACAGCCTAACAAGTAGGGTAGTCTAACATATGGGAGGAAACAGGTAAGGAAATCCAGGTGGACAGACCAAGAGCATGAAGACTTGAGGGATCTTCATTATGTACCAGGGCCCCTCATGGATTGTATCTTTCGTTTAAGTTGGGAGTACTGGCAAAAGTAAAGCAAACTCTTGGTTTTAGGGAAGGGATGTAATTACTAAGATCATTAGAACAAGAACTAAAATAAGGACCTAGGTAGAACCCCTGTTAAATGATGACACAGGAGTTGTTAACTGAGTGTGGAAACACTGAATACTTCTCAGAATAAACCTTATGATCATGAAAGGGGTACTGTCAAAGAAGAAAACCTTTTAACTAAAGGAGAAAAATAATATGAATGCCCAGAATTTAGCATTTGGATGTCTTTTCAGGTCAGAATAACAAAAAACAATTTATGCTGTTTAGAACCTTTGGGATCTCACCTTCAGGCTTAAACTGAGAAGTGGGACATGGCAGTAGACTTCTTTTGAAAGACCAAGGTATTATTAGGAAATAGGAAAGCAACGTTGTGAAATACAAGAGAAATGAGATTGATATTGACCTCTGATATCCTGGGCCTGAAAGTAACCTTAAATCTCTTCCTAAACTGGGCCTGGTGTCACAGATCTGTAATTCCAGGAGAATTATGAATTCAAGACATCTCAGTGACTTAGGTAGACCCTGTTTCAAAATAAAAAATGGTTGGGGATGTAACTCAGGGCAAAGACGCTAGGGGTTCAATCCCCAGTACCAAAAAGACAAAATAAAATCCCTCATCTCTGAAAACAAGAAAATTTTAAATACTGATAAATAAGAGCTTTGCTTTGGAACTAGATCTTTTACCTATCTTTTTCCTTTCCTTTTCATCTAACATTTTAAAATTTTAGTCCTACTTCTGGAGTCACCCTTCCTTTCAAGAGCAGAATAAAGTCACCTAAACTTTCTGTTCTGAGTAACTAACACTAAGCACTTGAAAAATTTCTGAGAACTTCATTTATTGTGGAATTCTCTCTTTTTAAATTTTTGCAGTATATAGTGATTATATTCATTGTGGGGAGTTGATACATGTACATAACACGTTTGGTACTGGACATTGAACTCAGAACCTTGAGCTTGTGAGGCAGGTGGAGGCATCACTAAGCTAAATCCCCAGCCACCATAACACATTTTAATTCTTTTTTTATATACCCTTCCCCACCCCTCCATCACTTGATCCCCTCCCTTTTACAAAAGATCTATTCCTATTTCCTATTATCTATATTTTTATGTTGCTTTATTTATATTTTGGGTTTTTCATACAAGAGAAACCATGTGATATTTAAACTTGGGTGTCTGATTTGTTTCACTTAACATGATCTCAAGGTATATCCATTTTCTAAAAATGACTCGTTAGCCTTTATGGCAGAATAGTACTCAATTCTTTTTTTCTCACTTTTTTTTTTTTAAAAACAAGGTCTCACTATATAGTTCAGGCTAACCTTGAACTCACTATGTAGCCCAGTCTTGCTTTGAACTCATGGCAGTCCTCCTGCCTCAGCCTCCCCAGTGCTGAGATTACAGGCATGTGCCACCACACCTGCTAATACCATACTTTATCCATTCATCCATTGACAGACGTACAGGCTAATTACAAGATTTAGCCATTATGATTTGTTCTGATATAAATGTGGGTATGCATATATATCACTATAATATGATATATTTAACTGGGGAAGATACCTAGAAGAGGAGTAGCTGGGTTAAATGGATTTCTACTTATTTCCATAGTGACTGTATTAGTTTACATTCCCATGAACAATGTAGAAGGGTTTCTTTTTCCCTCCAGCCTCAACAGCATTTGTTATTACCTGATTTCCTGATGGACATTTTTTGGGGAGTGCAGTGGAATCTCAATTTGTTTTAATTTGCATTTCTGTAATAGCTGGTGATGTTGAACATTTTTCATATATTTATAGGCCATTTGTACTTCTTTTGAGAAATGTCTACTCATTTTAGTTGTCCATATTCTTAATTGGATCTT